GAAGGAAGGAAGGAAGGAAGGAAGGAAGGAAGGAAGGAAGGAAGGAAGGAAGGGAGAGAGGAAGGATTACAATAATACATTGAACTTTCAAAAAAAAAGAGAAAAGACTGTGGTTATTAGAGGTGGGAAAGGTGGAGGAAGAGGGAGGTTAGCAAGAAATTAGTTAAGAGTCACAAAGATTGATTACATTTATAATCATTAGTATACCAATTATCCTGATTTGATCAACACATATTTTACAAATGTATTGATATTTGAATCTGCACCTCACAAATATATGTAATCAATTGTGTTTTAATAAAAAAAAGTCAAAAAAAAAAAGAAAAGAGAGATGAGAAAATGGAAAGGTGGAAATGGAAATAGGAAAGAGAAATCTGTGGTGGTAGTTGCTTAAGACAGACCTTCTAAGAAGGTTGTTTTAGAGGGGCAGAATCACCTCTAAATCAACACTACCTCCAAGGAGGGAAACTAATATCACTTTAAGTGTGGCACTTTGGTGATGGGTTTTGAGAGCTAATTAATGATGAAATTCCTGATGTGCCTTGTACGTGACTTCTGTAAGTTTTATGGGGTCAAGGGCAACAACTATATTTAAGTTATCTTTATACCTTAGCACCTAGAACAGGGTCTGGTATGTGGCAGATGCTCAGTAAATGTTGGATGGGTAGATGGATAGTTAGAGTGATGACAAATTTGGTACAGTTGAGAAATTTGATGATAGTTTCCATTTTCAGCCAGAAGGAGTCAGTGTTTCAGAAATTAAAGCATTTGGACACAGAGGGGATGGATCATTTTTAGCTGTGTGACCTTGAGCAAGTTATTCATCCTTGCTAAGCTTCAGAATCCTCATCTGAAAAATAGAGAATAGATAAAGTAACTCAAGTAAAATATTTCACTTAGAGCATAGCAAAACAAAGTGCCACCTGCTTAAAATGGTAGTTGCTATTATTCTGTGAGTAATAAAGGTATTTAATTGTGAAAGGGCCATATTTTGGTTGGTTTCAATTTTAAAAATTGAAGTTGGTTTAAATTTGATGTGTTGGGAAGTAGGAAGCTCTGAAGGCTTCATGAGCTTGGAAAAGATATAATTTTCACAAACATCAAAGGAAGGAAAAATTAGAAAGGGTAAGTCTGTGGTCAGGAGAAAAAAAAAATAGTAATCTCCCAGTATGGCATGGATTGTATTGTCTGGGTTCAAAGCCCAGCTCCACCATTGACTCATGTGTAACTTTGGGCAAACAACTTAACTTCTCTATGTCTCAGTGAGATTTTAGTAGTTCATCAAAGTGTGTTATTAGGATTAATGAGATAATCAATATAAACTGTTTGGCAGAGTACCTGGCATATTGTAAGGGCTCAATCAATGTTACCTATATTTTCTGTTAGTATTATTTTTACAAGATGATGTAAGACTCAGTTCATATTGACAGTAAGAATGGAAAAGAGAAATGTTAGAGGAAAAATGTAAAAATGTTTAGTGGTTAACTCCATATGAGGTATCTGCATCTATTGCAGTCCCAGATATGTAAGACATAAGGGGGGGCGGATCATGGAAGGTAATTGTAGTATTGGTTATTTGATGCTTTGGGTAAAGAAAAAGGAGACTGCTAAATGCACACCAAATCAGAATCATATAAACCCAGTGAAGAACTAGGTTCAAAATGATATAGTGGAAAAGCACTAGACTGGTAGTCTGAAGAACTACGCTCAGAGCCAGCTCAATTCCTATCACTTGTGAGTTTTGTGAACTTAGATTTAACATCTTAGTAATTCAATTTTCTCAGCATAACGTAGAAATGAGACTGCCTTTCTATGTATTGAGAGAGCAAGATGAGATTATGAATGTGAAACTAGTTCCTGAAATTTTCTGGGAAATTATAAATGCAAGACTAATCTTATACATGGAAGCACTAAATAATCTGCTCAGAATCAGTGCCAAGACAAAACTGCCAAGTCATCTGTTACCAATAACACCTCAACGAATTTCTGTCCTCTGTTTTAAATATGTGATTCTTTGAGAGCACTTGTAGATTTATATTTTCTCTGATTCTCTAAGCACAAAAGCGTATTTCTCGAGTTTAGAGTTTTGATGAAAGAAATATATAGGAAGGCAATTTGTGGTAGTGGGCATGCTGATAGTATTAATCTGACCATCACATTTTAGAGTGGGCATGCTGATAGTATTAATCTGACCATCACATTTTAGGCACAAGTCGTGACAGTCAGCTTTGTACTCCATGAATATATATAACCAATAATTTTTTTTTAAAAGAACGAAAAAAATATATAGGAAGAAGCCAGAAAACAAAAATCACTTGTAATTTTACTACGTGGAGATGTTTAATGACAAAATTCTGTTTTGGGTTTTTTTTTTTTCCCCTATAGAATGCAAGCTAAATCTCTAGAAAGATAGACAGATATTACTTTTTAAAAATTGGTATGATGTTAAATGTACAGATTTGAATTGTGTTTTATCTAGTCAATATCATAATATATATGAGTATAAGATTATTTTAACACCTGTGCAAGTATGCTAGTAATATACAATACAGAATTTTTATGTGTCACTTCTCTTCTCCATCAGAAGTATCCAGTATAAAGAAAGTTTCACTTTTATAGAGATGGGTTTATTGTTTTCTACTTGTCACTTAATTTTGTACTCCACTTAAATAATATGCTCAGAAAGTATCGATAACATTTAAGCAGACAGCAATCGGGAGAAACATTTATCTGTAATGCTAGACAAAATGTAACAATGAACTCTTTCATCTAGATTCTAAGCTCTGAGGTCTTTTCAACTACCCTCTTGGGCTGAAGCCATCCAGAGAAACTCAACAAAATAAGTGGTTTGAAGCAAACAAAAATATAAACCCCAAACCTTTCCCAGCTTTGCATAATCATCATATTCATTTACTTTTAACTAAATTTACCTTCATGGAGATTAGGTTGATCAAACCTGTCTCCCCCATTTTTTGTTTTTCTTTTTTGATCTTCTGAGAATACCTTCTCAGCCTGGAGCTAAGTTTTCCCAAATACTTAAATATTTGATAAACATCGATTTTGCTACTGAGAATCACTCTAAAGGGTTTAATGACTATATGGATCTGTTTACTATTTTTTTTTTTTATTTAGATATTTGTTTATAAGGTAGACTAGCAAAATAGTTGAATTGGGTTTTCTGGTCTTCTTACTGAGTAATCTTTTCTGTGTCTATACTCTCCTCCTAGTGGTAAAACTCATATCATATGATCTGTGATCCCAATTTGGTAAAGGAAGCTATCGAAGATCCGTCCAAAGTTGCATTAACTGCATAAAGACAGGATTACTCCAGAACCCCCATTTTTTTTAGTAACAATATGACCCATTTTCATTTATTGAAAGTAAATATTATTTGAGCACCCGCTATGTCTTAGACACTGGTAGTATAGCAGTTAATAAGTCTAAGTCCTTGTCCAGATGGAGCTTACTTTTCAGAAAGACCGAGCAATATACAAATAAGAAAATCTTAGATAATGTTAGAAAATCTTAGGTATATTTATTATTTTGTATATTCTATTTATATTTTTGCATATTTTATTATTATACAGGTATATTCTCTTTCTTCATTTTGTTAAGAAATAAATAAGCTACTTAACTCTCTAAATAGCACATTTAGGAGAGTGTTGTGCTGCTGTTTTTTTGATGAACTACTGCACTCTGGGTGAACATTACTGTTGTAGGGGCCAAGTGAAGGCATCCCTTTCAAGCCCCCTGAAGGTTCTCTGAAAAATCACCTGATAAACACAAATTAATATGAAGCAAAGATATAACAAATTTTATTGGATCATAGTTTTATGTAACATGGGAGCCTTCAGAAGGAAGACCCAAAGATATACAGGAAATTGTCCACATTTATGCTTAGGTCCTATGAAGCAGGCACAGCCATGTAGAAATGTGGTTGGATAAGAAAAATATGATCTATTGCTAACAGACTAAGTCGGGAAATTCAGCAAGGCCTGTTTGTTCAGATTCTTTTTAGCCTCTCTGGGTAGCATTCATTCCTCCAGAGTACAGGGCATGACCCTTTATGACCTACAATCAGACAAGGTAGGTCAGAGAATTTCTTTATGGTCAGCTCTAAGACAGAAAGATGGGGGAAGAGCAGAGCCTATCTATGACCTGCTTTGGGGAAGAGAGATTCTACTAGATTCTATGGCTTGCCTCAGGGGAGGATGAGGCTGACAGAGAGGCCAGGGGAAAGAGGAAAACTTGACTTTTGAGGCTGCTTCAAAGCCTTCACTTTGGGGTATAGCTTTCTGGGCCCTAAGACTGTTTAGAAATCAGTGTAAAATATTTGGAGCTGTTCACAAGATTAGTCAAATTTAAATTAGTCTAGCAATAAGTTATCTTGCTCATGTTAAGTTAAGTGTGAAGTATCGGATATATTTTGAAAGATATTTTAGTACCAGTCTAAGCAGCATATTATAATAAAATGCATACGATAAATTTCATGAATTACCATTTTTTGAACAGTGGAATCAAGGTACTTAATAATAGCAATTTATATTGCCAGCCAACTAGGTCATTTTAGGTCATTATTTTTTCCCATTCTTTTCATTCAAAAGTTTATATTTTGAATTTTTTTTCCTGTTTCAGTTGATTTTTTAATATCTTAAGTATATCTTCAAATATCTTTATTCCCCTTCCAGGAATTTGCTGCACTGACAAAGGAATTAAATGCCTGCAGAGAACAACTTCTAGAAAAGGAAGAAGAAATCTCTGAACTTAAAGCTGAAAGAAACAACACAAGAGTAAGCATAAAGCAGCCTCTTCTTGGAATTAATTCTATATGTAGTTCAGTGCCTTATATATAATATACATGTAAAAGAAAACATATGCATTTAAGAATTTTACGAATTTTAACTCACAACTTGTAGTGAGTTACTTAAAGTAAAGGAGGGTATATTACAAAACTCAAAACAAAAAGACAGGAAACCTAAATTATAGTCTAGGCTACTAAATCACTATGTTGCCTTAGAAAATGCTCTTATTCTTCCTGGCCTTTACTTTATTTGACTTTAAAAAGAAGGCCTGGATTTCAATAACAGGTTTCAAACTTTGAAAAGGTTGTGTTGAGGGAGGGCAATACCTCAGAGGTTGGAAATGGGCAAGGGAGGAGAGGTTTGGAAGAGGAAGAAGAGTTTAAATTATGGGGTGCTCAGAGGGAGTAGCCTGGATTTGGTCTATACCTCATCCCAGCAAAAGTTTTATTCAAAAAGAAAAAAAGTGTTAAAAATGGAAAACCATTGGAACCAATATCTGCCAATGAAAAAAGGCATATCTTTACATTTTAGGTCTCCAAAGCAACTTCCATTTCTGATATTCTGATTTCATGAAACTCATGGAATTTACTACATTCTACTCTTAGAAACCCATGTATTTTATCAATCACATGACATACCATGCAACATTAAAGTTCAAAATTTCATCAAAGATACTACTTCTAGTTCAGAAAAAAAAGTCACCAAATTTCATAAAATATGTAAGTGTCATATTACCCATAAATGAATGTAGTTTCTCTACTAAAAGAAAGTAGAGAAAAACCACTTTTGTGGAGTTATTAAGTGAGTGAAAAATATCTTAATTGTTATTGCTTTAATAGATTAATGCTGAGAAAATATGTTATACTTAATAGCCTATTCATTTTATGTTTGATCTTAGAGAGTAATACAGAAATACAGCTCCACAGACTGTGAGCTTGTTCCTCTAATGAGAGATAGAATTGCATGCACAATGGTTATATGAACAAACTCAATTATGTCTTTATTCATCTTGGTCTTATTTTATGGTAAAGGGAAAAATACGTGCATACAATGAATTGGTTTTCATTTTATGGTAAAGGGAACAATAGGTGCATACAATGAATTGGTTTTACTATGATGAGCCAGTCACAAGGACTGTCTCAAATAAGGCATAACAAGGGTAGTTCAGATCATTTTATTAGGTATCAGGTAAACTTTCTGTTTCTCTTTCCCTCTATATATTTTTCCTGCCACCCCCTGTGTATTTTTTCAGCCCTTGATTTTTAACTCAACAGGGTGTTTCCATGTAAATTTAAATTTTATTTCTGCCATAAGATTTATTCTGCCCTATTCCACTATTTTATATTTTAATACTTTAGACTATATTCCCTGATATTATGCAGTATGGCCAAACATAAAAGTACGATCAGGAAGCTGAAAATGAAAGGAAATATAAACCTTTGGGCAGATTTCCAACTAAATCTTGCTTTTAAAAAGCACCAGAAACTCATTTATTAGCTATGTATGCATTTCTTTTTTGTATATCCTCTCTTTCTAGAGGACTTTTCTCCTTTCAGCACTCATATGAAGGAGATATTATAATTATCCCCATTTTGCAGATGAGACAAATGTGCTCAGAAAAAGTCAGGTACCTTGCCAAGAGTCACACAGTTAGTAAATAGCAGAGAAGAGATCTGAAAGGTAAGGTAAGACACTCTAAATCTAGAGCTGGTGTCCCTAGCTATGAGGTATCAACACTATTACTCAAGTTGTATCTATGAAGGAACTCAAAGATTTACTACAACTTAGAGGAAACATTGCCTAAGAGTCAGACTGCTGCAGTATGGTATGTGTCATTCCTTCATAACTTAACTAATTTCAGAGAACTAGGAGTTTTGACAACAGCATCCACACAACTTGCATCATATTAAACCTCGTGAGACTTAGAAGTACCTGCAGGTATTGCACCTGCAAGGGATCCTTGAGAAATAAAGGAAGTGAGGTTAGCTACACTTGAAATACCTTTCAGGAGTCAAAGTGAGCAAAAATGTCAAGTTCCTTTAGGATAAAAGAAATTAAAACCCTTAATTTTAAACATGAGTGATAGTTACTTAGAAAATATGGTCCCATTTGTTTATTTATTTATTTATTTATTTATTTATTTATTTATTTATTTGTGATAGTTACTTAGAAAATATGGTCCCATTTGTTTATTTATTTATTTATTTATTTATTTATTTATTTATTTATTTATTTATTTTTGCTGCTTGTGCTTTTGGGCTCATGTTCATAAAGTCTGTGCCCAGACCTAGTTGCTGGAGTGTTTCACCTATATTTTCCCTTAGTAAATTTACAGTTTTGGGTCTTATCCTAAACTCTTTAATCCATTTTTGAGTTGATTTTAGTCTATGGTGAGAGGTGTATATCTAGTTTCAGTATTCTGCATATAGATATGCAATTTTCCCAGCACCACTTGTTGAAGAGGCAGTCTTTTCCCCAAAGTAGATTTTTGCTGCTTTTGTCCAATATCAGATGGCCATAAGCTTGAGGGGTGATTTCTGGGTTATCAATTCTGCTCCACTGATCTGAATATCTATTTTTATACCAGTACCATGCTGTTTTGGTTATAATAGCTTTGTAGTATAATTTAAAGTCAGGTAGTGTTATGCCTCCAGATTTTTTTTTTTTTTTTTTTGCTCAGGATTGCTTTGGCTATCCAGGGTCTTTTGTTGTTCAGCAAAGGATACAATCAACAGAATGAAATGACAACCTACAGAGTGGGAGAAAATTTTTGCTAGCTATGCATCTGACAAGGGATTAATATCCATAATACAAGGAACTCAAACGATTATATAGTAAAAAACAAATAACCCGATTAAAACATGGGCAAAGGAGCTGAACAGACATTTTTCAAAGGAAGACATACAAATGGCCAACAGGTACATGAAAAAATGCTCAGCATCACCAGTCATCAGGGAAATGCAAATTAAAATTATATTGAGATGCCACCTTACCCCAGTTAGACTGGCTATAATCAAAGAGACAGTGAATAACAAATGCTGGCAAGGATGTGCAGAGAAGGGAAAACTCCTACACTGTTCGTGGGACTGTACATTAGTACAACCACTATGGAAAACAGTATGGAGGTGTCTCAAACAAATACAGATAGATCTTCCATATGATCCAGCAATCCCACTTCTGGGTATATACCTAGAGGAATGGAAATCATCATGTCGAAGGGATCCCTGCACTCCCATGTTCATCGCAGCTCTATTTACAATAGCCAAGACCTGGAACCAACCTAAATGTCCATTGATGGATGATTGGATAAGGAAACTTTGGTATATATACACCATGGAATATTACTCTGCCATAAAAAAGAATGAAATACTCCCATTTGCAACAACATGGATGAGCCTGGAGAAACTTATGTTGAGTGAAATAAGCAAAGCACAGAGGGATAAATACTGCATGTACTCACTCGTAAGTGGGAGCTAAGAGAGAAAGAAGGAAGGAAGGAAAGTCCACAGTGGTGCATTGTACTTGCAGAGGGAGAGAACATTCCTTGGGCTACCAAGTGGAGTTGGGGGCAAAGGGGGAGGGAGGTTGGGAATAATTGGGTGGGGGGCACAGGGTACAAATGCAATTTGTGGTAATGGGTATGCTGCCAGTATGAATCTGGCCCCACATCATGGGCACAAAGGGTGACAATCAACTTTGTATCTCATGAATATTCATAACCAATAAAAAATAAATGAAATGATTTTTTAAAAAAAAGAAAATATGAATATAGCTGGAAAACATTTTTATACCTTCCTTCAAGCAGTAATGTGGAAGATTTTTGTTCTTAATTATGTCAAGGAAAACAGATTTATGAAAACTCCCATGTGCAAAGTGTTGATTATATAACAGCTTCTTAAGTTACATAACCACCTCTCACAGTCCTCCAGCCCCTCCAAATATCCAAGGCTGAAAATCAGGCATATTTTTTCTCTTTCCCCCAAATACCTTATCAAATGTTGCTAAATATAACAGTTTTCACAGATTTATGTACTTGTTTCTCTTTCACATGTGTTGTTTATTGGGGTTTTTGTTTTGTTTTGTTTTGTTTGTTCATTTTTACTATAAACACCTACTTATTGGTTAGGGAGAGAAAGCGACAAGCTAGTATTTCCTTTTCACACCTAAAGAAACCTTGACAGGTGTTAGATCGTGAGAAAGTTTAAAGTAGTATTCTAATTTTAAGGGCTCTGATAAACTTGTGGCTATCTCCATGTTGAGTAGTTAGCATATGTTCATGAATTGAGATATAAAAGACAAAATTAAGCATGAAAAGACAAAAAGAACCCATGAGTGGATAGGATCGTTTGTGTTAATTTTAAGTGTCTTCAAAAACAAAACATCAGAAAGGGCCTTCCTGCATAACAATATTTTAGTAAATGATACCTTTTCCCACAATAGAAAATTAAAGTTTCAGTGGGAGTTGAATGTTTATCTAATATATAGAAGAGTAATAGTGATAATATAATAGTTAACATTAAGTGCTAAATGTTTTTCTAAATGTTTTGCATGTTTAACTCACTTTACCATCTGAGCAACTTCATTATCCCTATTTAATTCACTAGTAAGTGACTTGCCACAGTCCACATGGCTATAAATAACGCATCCTATTCCTATGCCACCCAGAAATCATACGTGATGCAAAGGGATTATGTTTAGGGAAGAGCAGAGTTTGTTCAATTTTCTGTAATTCAATCCTAATTTATTTTGTATCAGTTACATAGAAATTAATGGGCTAGGTATGTGTTTTAATTTCAGAGTTGAAAGTTATTGCCATGTATCACTTTGTCACTACAGAAACACCTGGTCCCCAAATAATTGTACACAACGTTACATTGAATTCAGGTCTAATAGGAAGGTGTATAGTTTTAGAAACTCTTACTGAATCATAGTAAAATAAAGGATTTAGATTACCTAAATCTTTTTTTCTAAGGCAGAACTTAGTCCAA